AATTTAAATAAAATAAAATTAAAGAAATTAAATTAATTGAAGTTTTTAAATATTCAAGAGCAAGTGGCCTGGGCAGAGCTGGAAGCACAGAGGTGACCCCACCACCACCATGAGGGGTTCCCATCACCTCTCCTGTCCTGTATTCCTGCAGATCCCCAAATCTCTCCCCTTGGCCTTGGAGCTGCACTCAGGGAACACAACCCAGTGCAAAAGGAAAAGGGGAAAAGGAAAAGGGGATTTACTCCCTCCCAGGGAAAACCTACTTGAGGTTCTGAGCATCCTGGTCATCCTCAGAAGACTGGATTGAGCACTCTTCATCACTGTCCTCGTAATCTCCTTCCTCTTCCTCTTCCTGATCTTCTTCTTCTTCCTCTTCTTCTTCTTCTTCCTCTTCTTCTTTTTCTTTTTCTTTCTCTTTCTCTTTCTCTTCATCTTCCTCTTCCTCTTCCAGATCCTTGGTGGGACTTTTGGTTGATGAGGTTTCATCCTGCCCTGCCTCAGGAGAAGGGCTCCCAATTTTTTCCTTCCTGCCAGGGAGGGAAAGACAAACCAGATTCATTCATTGCTTCCCCAGAGGGATCTGGAACCAAAACACGCTGCAGGTTTGGCTTTGCTGAGCTCAAAACTCATCTGAGGTAGCTTCCACCAAAGTTTCCAGAGGAATATCCCCTGACAAGGAATGAAAACAGCCTTGTTCCAACAAATCCCTCATCCTCAGAGGGCCCTGGATACTGGATGTGTATGGATGGACACTGTGGGACACAGGCCAGGCTGGAGGAGCTCTCCTGAGAAGGATCCCAAGGACAGCAGTCCCACCTGCCCAGGTTGGGCACACCTGGACAAGGTTAACCCTGCCCAAAAGGAATCCCCAGGGATTTGATCCAAGCCCACAGTGAAACCAAGCCTGGCCCTCCACAAACCCCTCCAGCATCAACTGCAGGGAATGGAAATAGAATCACCATGGAATCATGGAATCATGGAATGGGTTTAGTTGGAAGGGACCTTAAAATCCAGCCCTGCCATGGCAGGGACACCTCCCACTGTCCCAGGGTGATCCAAATTGAATCAATCCTGCCAGGGATCCATGGGCAGCCACAGCTGCTCTGTGACCCTATGCCAGGACCCTGCCAGGGGTATTTTTCCTAAGGGATGCTGTGACCAGGAGAGTGGGATTTGGGATTTGGAACACATTCAGAGTGTTTTCCACATCTCCTGAAACCAAACCAGCCCAGCAGAGCCCAGGGGTCACGTGGACACCAAAGCCTTGGTGGTTCCTCTGCTCCCTCCAGGAGGACTTTGGGGCAGTGCCAGGGAGGAACCAAGCAGGGTTTAGTCTGTGAACTGAGGGCTCCTCCTCTGCTCAGCACTGGCTGCTTCCCCCTTCCCTCCCCAAACCTCTGCTGCTCCTCTGGCAGCTCCCTCCATTCCCTCCTCCATGGGCTGCACCTTCCTGCCTGACCACAGCTGGGCACTGGGAACTGCTGGGTCCTGCACTGGGTGCCACAAGGATTGGGGACAACAGTGGGACAGGCCCTGAGGAGGACAGGAGGTGCCAGGGAACGGGGACAGGACAAGGGAAACAGCCCCAAGCTGGGCCAGGGGAGTTCAGGGTGGATATTGGGAAAATTCCTTCCCCAAAAAGTCTGTCCAGCCCTGGCCCAGCTGCCCAGGGCATGGTGGAGTCCCCATTGGTGGAGGGATTTAAAATCCCTGTGGATGTGGCACTTGGGGACATGCTCAGGGGTGGCCTTGGCAGTGCTGGGGGGTGGCTGGAATGGATGATCTGGGAGGGCTTTTCCAATCTTGACAATTCCATGATTCCACAGTTCTCAGAGGTAAAGGAGAGGGGTGTGACTGCTTCACTCACTCATCAGCTTCCTTCTCCCCATCAGACACGGGGGATGTGGGAGGAGTTCCAAGCTCAAGAGTCCCTGCATCAACCTCCAAATCCTCATCCTGGTCAGCTGCACTTTCCTGGAAGAGAAAGGAANCACAGGGTGCCAGAGCAGCTCTGTGTCCCCTGAAGTGTCCAGGGCCAGGCAGGACATTGGAACACCCTGGGATAGTGGGAGGGGATTGGAACTGGATGAACTTTAAGGTCCCTTCCAACCCAAACCATTGTGGGATCCCACGATGTTTGGGAGTGCTCCAGTCTGGATTTATCCCAGCTGAGCCCTGGTGCTCTGTACCTGAGATAAGCCTTTTCCTGCACTTATCCACGAGGTGCTGGCAGTACTGGATCTCTGCCTTCAGGTCCTTCAGCTCAGAAAAGCCAGCCCTGTGCTCCTCCTTCAGCTCCTTCAGCTTCACAATGAGGGAGAACTCGTTCTCATCGATGATCACCTGGCCTTTCTCATCCGTGTATTCTCCTGGAGGGGGAGAAAAGGAAGGGAAGGCTCTGCTGAGGGTGGAGAGCAGGGACAGGGCTCTGCAGATGATCTAATGGAGGGTCTGACTTGGCTCCTAGGGGGAAAAAATCCCTGGGATTGCTTAGATGGGAAATTGGGAAGGAATTCCTGGCTGGGAGGGTTGGGAGGCACAGGTTGTCCAGGGAAGCTGTGGCTGCTCCTGGATCCCTGGCAGTGTCCAAGGTTGGATTTGGTTTGGAGCAACCTGGGACAGTGGGAGGTGTCCCTGTCCATGGCAGGGGTGGAGTGGGATGATCCTTAACATCCCTTCCAACCCAACCCATTCTGAATTCTGCAACCACCCAAAACTGCTCTGGAAGCTGGAAATCACATAGGGACAGAGGAAATAGTGGGAATTTCCATTAACTTCCTGAAGGGTGGCTGTGGTGAGCTGGGGGTCGGTCTCTTTCTCCAGGCAGCAACAGACAGAACAAGAGGACACAGTCTCAAGCTGCACCAAGGGAGATACAGGCTGGAATTAAGGAGGAAGTTTTTACAGAAAGAGTGGTCAAATACTGGAATCATCTACCCAGGGAGGTGGTAGAGTCACCATCCCTCGAAGAGTTTAAAAAAAGATTGGATGTGGCACTTGGTGCCATGATCTAGTTGAGGTTTTAGAACATGGGTTGGACTCGATGACCTTAAAGGTCTCTTCCAACCTAGAATTTCTGTGATTCTGTGAATCCAGAGGCAAAGCCCTATCCCAGGGCAATTCCTTAACCCCACCTCTATTAAATTAAATTAAATTAAATTAAATTAAATTAAATCAAATCAAGGATGAGATCTGGATCAGATCATGAGAGCTCATCCCCTGTCCTGAGCTCCCTCCTCACCCTCCTGCCTCCGCTTCTTCTTCTGAGCCTCCAGAGCCTCCTTGGTTGTCTCCACCTCCTCCTTGAGGCTGTTGAGCCTCTGGGCCACAGAATGGCTTGCCTTCTTCTTGGCAATGAGGATTCTCTTGTTGTCCCTGAAGATCCTGTGGATCTCCTGTCCAGCCTCCTTCTTGAACACCTCAAAGGCCTGTTGCTTGGACAGAAGGGGCCTGAAAGCAGACACAGACACAGGAGCTCGCTCTGTGCTGCCCTGCAGCGTGCAGTGAATGCTTCAGGTTGGAAAAGCTCTCCAAGATTGAGTCCAAGCATCCCCCAGCACTGCCAAGGCCACCCCTGAGCCATGTCCCCAGTGTCACATCCATATGGGTGTCACATCCCTCCAGAGACGGGGAGCCACCATGCCTTGGGCAGATGTGTCACATCTGGAGAGCCTTTGCAGGAAAGAATTTTCCCAATTTCCAACCCAAACCTCCCCTGGCCCAGCCTGAGGCCGTTCCCTCTGCTCCTGTCCCTGTTCCCTGGGATAAGATCCCAAATCCCCCCGGCTGTGCCCTCCTGGCAGGAGCTGTGCAGAGCCACAAGGGCCCCTGAGCC